TCAGAAAACGCTAATTTTGCAGTTGAATGTAAAAATAAAAACTATATACAAATATGGCATTCTAGGTTAGATCGCCGAAGTTATGATGCAATCAGACAATTAGTAAGAGAAAATCTTGCAGAAGGAATAAAATAGATAATTGCAGTCATAATGAAAGCAGTTCAGAATGCATAAAGAATAAAATGCAGCAAATTCCTTATCCGAAAGTTGCTAGCATTCGACCAAGAAAACCACTAGAACTTATACCTAGTGATATTTGTGGGCCTATGCCTACTCCAAGTATTGGTGGAAAACTTTATTTCGTAACCTTTATTGATGACTTTACTACATACACTATCATCTATTTCCTCGCTAAAAATGAAGTTCTTAGTAAATTAAAGGATTTTGTCGGTATAACAAGAAATAAATTTGGGAGAACCATATAGACTCTTCGAACTGACAACGGTGGTGAATATACCAGCAAGGAAATGGTGGAATTTCTATCAGATAATGGCATCAAACATCAACTAACTGTTCCCTTTTCGCCTCCTCAGAACGATGTGAGCGAAAGAAAAAATAGAAGTCTTACTGAGATGACCAGGTGCTTGCTGTCCCAAGGCCGACTTTCAGACAATTTTTGGGGTGAAGCTGTCAACACAGCAAATTACATCCAGAATCGCCTTCCAACCAGAGCTTGTGATAAGACTCCCCATGAATTATGGAGCAGAAGAAAACCTAATTTAGCTCATATGAAACAATTTGATTTCACAGCTTATGCATATGTACGTAAGGAAAACCGTAAAAAATTAGAACAGAAAGCAATTGAAGGAATTTTTGTCGGTTACCATCAATGATGTACAGAATATATACACAGGTGAAAACCATATAATTATCAGCAGAAGCATAAAAAATTTGCCAAAGAATTATTAGCAAATGAACATATTGAAACTTCTCCTCATCCAAAGGTTGAAGATGTTGAAAATGATGAAGAAACTGAAGAAAAACACAAAATTGTATCCAAAGATGAGCCAAGACGATCAGAAAGGAAAATGAAGGGAATACCACCAGAACGTCTAGGATTTTTAATAAACACAATCAAAACCATACCTGAGAATTTTAAAGACTTAGATAAATTGAATTGCGAAGAAAAGGAAAAATGGTTACTCGTAGTTGATGAAGAAATCAATTCCTTATCCTGAAATAAAACTTCGGAACTGGTTGATCTTCCTGTAGGAAAGAAACCTATTGGCTGTCGATGGATTTTTCAGTCTGAAAGAAAATTAATATGGAACAGTCATTCGTTACAAGGCGCGACTAGTTGCTAAAGGTTTAAATCTGCAATCAACTAGTCAAAAATTTGGAACTGATTACGATCATACCTTTGCACCAGTAGTTCGACATACAACTATCAGAACTTTTCTTGCTGTTGCAGCATATGGTAAAATGCATGTGAGGCATGTAGACGTTACTACAGCATTTCTACACAGAAATTTAGAAGAAGAAATATACATGGAACAGCCAGAAGGCACAGGTCAACCCAGACAAGAAGAGAAGGTTTGCAAATTGAAAAAAGCTATTTATGGAACAAAGCAAGCTGCTAGAGTATGGAATAAAAAAGTTGAAGAAGTATTAAATAATAGTAACTTTTTGCAAAGTACGGCAGACCCATGCTTATTTCTAAAGAAAGATGGAAATGACATGATAATGATTATTGTCTATGTCGACAATATCCTTATAGCATGCAAAAGTGAAGAAAAAAATCAAAAGGCTAATCAAATCTCTCAATGAGTTCTTCGAAGCAAAAGATTTAGGAGAAATCAGAAACTACTTAGGAATCAACATCAAAAGAGATAAAACAAGTTTCTATTGAGTCAAAAATCAAAAATAGAAGAAGATATTTTGTCCAGATATCCACAAACCATTTTACACACCAATGGATACTTCTTATCCAAAGGAAGAGGACATCTCTCCACCAGTGGACAATACCAAGTACAGGCAAGCCATTGAAGCCTTATTATACATAGCCACTGTAACCAGACCAGACATTACTCTTGCAGTGAATCTGTTAAGCAGGAAAGCTGAATCTCCAAATGAGAAAGACTGGAAAGCAGTTCTAAGATTGATTGAATACCTCAACTCTACGAAGGACATTTGCCTGAAAATTGACTCTGATAGCACACCAACACTTTCCTGTTATACAGATGCTGACTATGCACCTGATTTAACCACCAGATGATCAACAGGTGGAAATTTATTTTTCCTACGAAATAGTCCAATATTTTGGTCCACAAAGCGACAAAATTGTGTTTTCCTATTATCTACCGAATTGAGCTTATTTCTGCAGCCACTGCTGCTCAAGAGCTCAAATGGATATTAGATCTCCTTTAAGATTTTGGAATAACTCAAAAAACTACGCATTAAGATATTTGAGGACAATAAGTCCACAATATCTCTTACAAAACACGGGAAAATGAATACCAGGATAAAGCATATTAATGTTAAATATTTCTTTTTAAGGGAAAAGGAAGAAAATAAAATAATCGACATAACTTACTGCAATACAAATTCTGATTGCAGATATTTTTACTAAGCCAAACCAAATTTCTGAAATTAAGAAGTGAGCTAAATCTGATTTCCAATATTTCCCAAATGCATGATTAAAGGAGGGATTGTTGTAAATTAATCAAGCATTTGAGAATAAATAAATAAAATGTTTTTTCTAACTCACTTCTGGCAACCCTCAAAAAATGCCAAGACACACGGGCGTCAAACACGTCAACTATGTTAATCACGTGATATTAATATATCCCATGATCCTCTTGTTCTTTAGATATTATTAAGCTTCTGTATGTGCTTGTATTAACATTAATGTATCTATCGCTTATATTATTTTAGTTGCAGTACAATAAATGTTATTAGTGTTTAACCCTTTGTCGCGCACAATATTATTTTTCTAATTTTTTTAACTAAAAACTCTAGAAATTCAATATTATGATCCAGGAGACAAATAATATATGAATTAAAAAAAATATACTCTTGCCCATTATTCTGTGGGTGGTGGTTGCACTGTGAAACCACCACGTGTCTAGGACTTTGAAACTTACTGATGTAGTAGGAGAAAAAGCTTATAATTTTCCGTGCACGTTTCCAATAAATGACGAAATTTACGGATTTAAAAAAAAATGTATGTAAGAATTGCATTATATATAATTTTTTTTACATTATTTTACAAAGTAAATCACCAGAAAAAATTAAAAAATAAACATTTATGTAATTTTTCTATAGCAGTGAAAATATAAGTACCTACATAATAAGGACATTTGGATAAATGGATTAAAAAAACTCAATAAAATAAGGATAAAAAAGAACTCAGTGGTTTCTTTTCTTTTTTTTTTCTCCTTTTTTTTTTTAAATTTCGACGAAAAAAAAAATTTTGTGACACTGTTCAAAGCATGTTTTGTCTCTTTGGTACATGCATAGACCCACATTGCACGTTTCACACATACATTTTGTTCTATGAGGTTCCTTCCTTGTGCTACAAAATGTACACTACCTGGATTTAAATTTCACTGGAATATGTCTAGCGTTATTTTGTTTCTTTTCATCTGGCACATGAAATTTATGTTTTTTTATGTTAATGGGGGGGGGGGCTTGGTCTTTTTGGCTTTGGATCGTTCATTTCCCATTCATACTTCTTTTATTCATATTTCGTCCCAAAATATTCAGAAAATATTTTTAATTTAAATAAAACTTTTACACAATTTCTATTTTTAATTATAGCAAAGTATATTTACATTAAATTTAAACCAAATAATAATTTAATAAATAATTTATAAAATCACAATACTAGCTTGGGGGGCAAGTGTGTTGATGTCAGAGAAAGGTATTTGGAAAAGAAAGACCTTTTTACTGGGCAGGTGCATGTATTGTTTAGTAATAAAATAACTCTGTGGTTTCAAAGCCCTTTATCTATATCCGGGTAAAAATAAACATTCCTATTTGAAAAGCAAGCGAAAGCCATTGAGAAGCAAACGCCAGTGGTTTCAAGGTGCGACCACCGAGCCTCTAGAGGATTGTAAGCATTGTGACACAAAGCTCTAATGGCGCAGTGGTCGCGCCCTGAAACCACATGGCAAATGCCATACATATAGAGGTTTTTTTTTTATATATGCAGTTTAATAACTGCAATTTTTTTATTGTTTATGATAGAAATCATGATGTGATGATCAATTTAAAGTTGTTTATATAAATAAAAGGAACTTATTTTGTCTCATTGAAAACGAATTTTAAAAGGCATCCGATCCGAAGTATTAATACCTAAAACATATATGATTCTACAGTCATTTTGTGTTATTTAGATGTAAATGATTAGTAATCAATTCATTTTCACTCAAAAAATTCGGAAAAAAAGAGGAGAAAAAATTTCGGAGAATGGTGGTTTCAAGGTGCGACCACCATGCGTCAAAGGGTTAAAGCTGCATCATATTATTTATGGATAAATCCATCATATCATCATCAACAATAGTTTCTGAGACTCAACTGCTGCTACTGAATGCACAAAAGGTAAGCTGTTTCGGCTATCTTTATTCTTCAAAAGGTTGCCTGTTATAAGAGATACCTTTGTGAAGGACTTCCTAAGGGAAAATATTACGAACACAGCTTTTGTTAGATATTTGTAACTAAGCCCCAAAACAAGAATATGATTTAATATATCAAACAGCCTTCAATATAGGTGGAATGATGAGGGCGGACTTTATAGTGCAAGTCTACTCACTTAAAACTCCAACGCCATGAACTTAAATAATGTTTCAAATACTAGGCCATTTTTATAATATACCTTCTTATGTTTCTATTACAATTCCCTACTTTATTTTCTGTCAGTTACATATATTCATTTTGTTTTATGATATGTACAAAATCAATTCAAAAATACTATTTTCAGTAAGTGGCCTAACTGAATCACAAAATCGTATGATACATAATTTATCAGTATCTTATATATCTCCTTTATAAGGTTTTACCTTCAACTGGTTGAACTTCAGCAAATCACTACAAAAATCAGCTTCTCCAAATGATGTTAACAAACGTCGCTGATTTGATCGTGCTTCTCTGTTAGACTGAGCTGTTGTTTTAGCTTTGTTGGCAGGATCCTACAAGTGAACGACATAAAACAAATTATTGCAGAAAATAGCTTTAAAAAAAAGAGAGAGAGAAATATAAAAAAGGCACACTTCCAGATATGACATTCTGCATAACAGTTAAAAAAATACTTAATGAACATACCAGATAATGCCAAGGCTCATTATAATTTTCATTAAACAATTAGTTAACCTATTAAAAAGCAATTTAGGAACACTTCATAATAAAATAGATATCACATGACCAATTATGGATATCAACATGCAAATTTGAATTAATTGTAACTATAACCCCAAAATGGGTGCCATAGCACAGTTAAGTATAAAAATAGTCCATTGTATTCTTTAAAAGTAAGCATAAAAGTATTTTAAGATCCAAAATTTTGTATAAAATTCTATTAATCTCAAGATCAACCATAGGTCCATCAGGAGGAAATGTAATTATTGCCCTTGAAAATCGTTGGAGATCATTCAAAATCTTTGCCAATCTAAGACTGTTTTCTTACCAATTTCTATGTCTTACAGTGGAGTTTTTTCTTCCAATTTATACTGCATAATTGTTTCTGTTTTAGTATATATTGCATTAAATTTATTAATAAAAATTAATTATGATAACTTTTACCTATAGCAAATAGCTATACAACAGAAAAAAAAAATTAGTTTGATTTGATGATTTTATAATAACCGAAAACTTCCGAATCTAAGGCAGTCCACAGATAACAATTACATACATATTATTTGTACTAAACTTCAGCAATATTTTTAACCATATATTTTAATAACTATACAAAACAAGCACTATTATGTAAAATTGATATTTTTCTATCTACAAATGATATGAAACAAGACTAGATTCACATAAACAAGATTCTAGATAAAGTTTGTTTTCATTTAATATATAAATATATGCAAAATCTTCCTACAAATGAAATAAAACTATGCATTTTGATGCTAATATTTTCAGCAATAACAGACATAACCAAATAACCTCATCATCGGTATGTTATACTATGATTTATTACTATAATAAAGTATTCACATAAGAGTCTAAAAAATACATATAATTCTGATAACTATTTTTTACAAACATTAAAAAATACCTTTCATCTAACAGCTTTAAAACATTTTTAATAAAATTATAATTCTAAACTTTAGAAGCAATAATGTAGAGACTGATCATATCAAAATTCATTTTATAACAGATTAAAAAAGGACTTGCGAAATCTAATTACTGATTAACGAAAGAAATCTTAAGCTAAATTATTCTTATATATATCTAAAATATAACCAAACCTAGGATGATGAACATCTCAGTCCCTGAACAAATTATCAGCATAGAAAACAACTAGGATAATGAACGGTGTCTCGAGTTACAAACATTTAACCCTTTCCAGCACGCTTCCTTTTAAAGTTGGGATTAAAAAAAAAGAGAAAGGCAGTCTAATTAGGCCTAGAAGAGTGCAGAGGTAAAAATTTTATGAAGATAGCACTTATCGCTTTAATTCTGCAGGTTTGCCCGAAGCGGGCCACATTCACTCATTCAGTGTGCCTGCTATGAATAGAGCTTCGAAAAGAGTGCTGAAACGAATAATGCTGGGAAGTGCATAAAAGAGTAAGACATTTTACCTATGATTAGAAAACACTAGATTATAAATACCGTAGCAGATTTTGCATTACCCAGGGTGTGTCACCAACCACTAAAAAAGCTCTTTTTGGTTATATGATGATTACATGCATATGAATGGAAAAAAGTAATTTCGGTGTATGATATTTACACTTTCCTCTATTTTTTGCATGGTGGTACTTTTCAAAGAAAGTGACACCACCTTTGAAAAAGCACAACCCAATATTGCATGTTTTGCAAATTAACCAAGATCTGTATCAAATTCACTATCTGGAAGCAATTCGTGTAGCACTTTCAGTGCTTCAGAAATAGTCAGCCATCTCTAATACATTTGGAAAATAATTAAAAATCCAGAAAAACAAAACTTTTTTGAACGAAAGCCAAAGAGAAAAAGTAACTGATAAAATTAACCCTGACCTTCAGAAAAATCACCCCAGAAATTTCTTAGTTGATAACTAACCTCTCCTTCAGGGGGAAAATGAAATATAGATGTGGATCTACTTTTCTATTGTAAATGAGCTGACCGATAAGCTGCAGAAAAACAAAGATACAGTTGTTGGTCTTCTCCTAGTTCTCTCAGTGAGCCCAATCTAAGCACAACCTCATGATCGCAGTTCGATTTTAGGCAAGATTTCAAGGTTAAAATTTAAAACTAATATAGAAGGAGATTAGCATAGAGCCAAGAAAATAACATAGAATAAAGAAATTAGCATACAGCCAAGATAATAACATAAAAATTTCTTTTCAAACAATTCCTTTTATATCCTACAATTTTTTTTTTTTTTGAAGATTTCTTTGAAAAATATGGGTCTTTAAACTCTCATTAACCCCACCAGCAGGTGAATTACAGCATCCTAAATTTGGCTTGGAAGAAATTATGGCTAGATTCTGTTGCAAGCAAAGACTTTGACACCTTAGATTTTATGCTATCTCTGGTATCATGTCTCTAGGCAAAACAATGGGCTAGGAAGTTAACAAGAAAGATATGCAAAAGTCACTAGAGGACCATAAAAATAAGCTAAACAAGAAGAAACTAAAACAGCTCCAGAAGAACAAAAGGCATTTTGGAAGTATCAACTTAAGAAATCACACAGATAAAGCAGTAGCAAACTACAATACAAGCATTTTCATTGACAATACCATGTTTCACTCTCATCCATGTAGGAATAAATTACTTCATTTTATGTTAATTGCTATGGAGAAAATAGCTCCAATTTATAAACAGCCTTTAGGAATGAATAAATTTGTGAACTGAGGTTTCACTGTTTAAAAAATGTAATTTATGTATTAAATTTAATATAATTTAAAAAATAAATTTATATACAGTGTTCACAAAAGTATGTATGTAGCTTTTATTTTCACAGCCTTCACTTTCAATTACAAAAGTATTTTACCTAATGCAAATATTCATGTTTCATCAATATTCTAAAAATTACGAGCATAAAAATTGCATATAATCCTCTAGTTTGTGTATTTACATTTAGTAAATGTTTAAACTCCTTCTAAAATACAAAAACAAAACAAAGTTTGACTATCATAAAACAAAAATTGATCAAAATATAAAACTGTAACAGGCGTCAGTGTTTGTACGCAGTTAACTCATATAAATAAAAATGAAAATACTTCTAGTTTAACATATATTTTAGTATGATTATTAGATTTCAGGTTAGATTAGATCATTTGAATATGGTAAAGCACATAAAGGGTATATGTCTAAGAGGAGGGATGCTGTTGTACAAGACTTTTTAAGAGGCTTGCATTCATTTTACACGTGGGGAAAATCAACCATGCGACCAGCCCGTTCACTTAGGATCAAACACAAACTGAGATCTCAGTATTTGGGGGTCTCAATTACTCAGCCACTGCCTGAGTACGATTCGAAAGTTATAAAATTGCATAATAGTGATAACAATAAGGACTTTTGTGGACATTAAATTTATACTTACAGGAAGTTCACCATCAATATCCAGACTTGACATTGCACCATGATTATATACAGCCTTCTCCTTCACATCCAGTTTATAATAACCTTCACATCTAGCACAACCAGACAAATGTGTCCGAGTATTTTCATCTTTTTTCTTTTTCTTGGGAGGAGAAGGAATGCTAGGTAGGCAATGTTAAGGAAAACTTACAACCAAAGTGAATTTAACTCAATGGATGAAAAATTAGTCACCCCCTAGAGAAATCATGTTAAGCCGATAACCACCTGGATTTGTTTAGGATGTTAGTGAGTCATCAGTAAGTGTTACACCACTCGCTGATAATTTGATCATGTTAATCTACCACTTTGTGAGGTTGCTGACTGCGGTGTTTCACCTGCAGTTTCTAAAAGTCCTACAAATTTTCAATACGTTTAGATCAGTAGATCTGGTCAGAAAGTCCAAGTCTGGGAGAATTTGTGATTTTTCATTATGTCAGATATGTGCTCAATATGAACATGCAGCCCAGCAAACTCTACTGTTGTTACCCTGAAACAAAGGAGTATCGACAGTAAATTCATCATAAAGATGTTGACTGAAAGGCCACAAATGAAGTTCAAGAATGTTTATATAAACATGCTAATCTATGTGAATGCTCACCACAAAAAGTGGGCACACGTTATAGTATGAAAAATACCCCCAAAACATCACAAATTTATTGCCAGCCTGAAATACACCTTATACACATTTCGGATGAAAACAGTCTCACATCTTTATATTTCTCCATATTAACAACAACAACAACAACAAAAAAAAAAAAAAAATCTCATTCATTAGAGTTATTTTGTCAGCTTCCAGAAAAATTTCCCACTCTAGTGATAAAGTGACATACCTGCTACACTATCTGTAGCAGTTTAACAAAACATCTGTGCTTTTGCACTAGGGTGACTAAATTTTTACCTGTGAGTTTATAATGTAATATGCTAAATTTACTTTACAATATGCATTTGTAAGCATATTTAATGCATCACACTTCATCTGCAGTTTTAACTAAATTAACTCATGATAAATTTATTAGTCAACTTTTTTGCATTTTAAACACAATTCGACTACATTTACAATATTTCATACACATGGAGGAAATATTGAGTAGTGCATAATATTATTAGTTATTACTTACTGTTCCCAAAATAGTTGTATAAACATTTACTCATAAAATAAAAATCTGCAATTTTTTATAATAGCTACCATACTAAATACAAACAGAAATATGTAGAAAAAATTTCAAGTTTCTTACACAATGATTTTGTTTGACATGCTGAGTACAGAAGTATAAATACTGACTCAACTGCCATGAACACATCTTCTTCACCACCATTTTTTTTTTTAAATGGCACACTTTAAAGTTTTAGCCTGTTGGTTCCATTTTATTTAATAGATTTCCAGAAATACATATTAAAGAAAAACTTGCAAGTGTAATTGAAAATGCTGTGGAAAATACAGATTTCCTATAACCTGCAAATGCATGTAAACCAAGCTATTTTTAGATGCAAACAAAATCTTGATTTTTTTGAAAATTTAGCCACGAGACAGCAACAGGAAAAATGAGCTAATATTAGTCAGTCTTGTAGCTGGAGTTGATCATGTTAGGAAGGCAGGCACTTTCCTTTTTTTGATATCAAGTCTCCCACTGCATATATTGCTTGCAGCAGTGAATTAATTTTATTATTGAAGTTATTTTTCATTTTCTGCACATATGACAGTACTGTCTTTTAACAGCAAAAATGGACTGTGAATTGTTCCTTTTATTTTAGATAAATTCTTACTTTAACATGAATATTCCATTATCTTTTAAAACTAACATTGAGTTTATGTAATTAACATACAATGCTGGTGGTTTTCCGGAGAAAAATTTTATTCAAAATGAAATTCACATAAATATTCAGTCACTTTGAGCAAAGAGTTCATATTTAAAACATAATGATAAGGGCACTCAATATTTCGCTAGACATCCTATAACTAAAATTATGCTTTTTACATACTTTGGCATAGATTAAAAATTTTTTTTTTTTGGTATAAGAATTACTTTTAGTAGAGCTTTAGAGGAAATATTAGATTCTTCCAAAGTTCTATTCTCCAAGTCACTCCATACATGTTTGATCGGATATAAGTTCGGAGACTATGGAGGAGTTTTTTTAAGTACTTTGAGAACAGTTACTTTTGGCACCTTAGTGCGGTCAGATTGATAAAAAAAAAAAAAAAAACTACGCCTGTCCGCGGCATTTCTGCCATTAAACGTTGAGCAGCCTAGTAAGATGAAGAAGATTGAAAATGAGGATTAAAACTAACATCAAAAGAGTTGTCATTAAAAAACTTTAAAACAATGGGGCAGTTCTTGAAATAGTCACCATCCATGTTATCCTGATGACATAAAGGGCAACAAGCTGAATCCTTGATTCCAATACGACATAAATGCCTCTGTAAATAATCATGCATTCAAAACCAAGCAACTTCAACAGGCAAAGAATTAAGAATTTTATTCTTTTTGTTCAGCAGGATGTTCCAGCTTTTATCCACAGCTGCATCTCTGTATAAGGACATTCTATTATTTTTAATTTTATTGTTTACAATCCTTTTAATGTTACGCAAAGGCAGAAGAGAATTAGGCTGAGAATCAGCTCTAGCAAGTCTATCAGCCTGCTCATTAACAAAAATGTCATAATTGCTCGGAATCCATTGGAGGGCGATGTTTTCTCTAGAATTCCAAAGTTCAAAAAGCCTTGCTTTACAAGTATGGGTATGTGCATTTTTATTGTATTTTGAATTTACAAACGACAATACAGCAGCTTGAGAATTGATGAGAAACACAATATTGGGATCAGGACTGTCTTTGTTTATCAATTGCAAATGATACTTCCACTATCTCTCCATCAAAATTGTAACAGTATTCCCTTAATAGGATAGCTAATACTAAAAGTACTTGTATATGCTCCAGCACCAGCGTTTTTTATAGTGTCTTCTGCCGAACTATCAGTGTACACATGGGGCCAATCATCTGGAAGGTACTTATTATATATAGCAGCTCGAGCAGCACTTTTTAATTCACTTTATAAGGAGGGATGTTTATTGACATTCCAAACAAGATCCGTATGGCCCTCCATGGTTTGATCTAGAACAGGATTTAATTCCTCAGGAAAAACCTAGCGATTGGGTGTAAGAATATCATAGGTATCATAAAGACCATGGACAGTAGAAAGGAAGGAATTGTGGGTTTTTAATATTTTGTTTGCTGGTCTGTAATAATTTAGAAAATTATTTTTCCTTCGTAAGATTTTTTCAACAATTTTTTACAGCCCCCCCTTTTTGGCATCTTTCACTTAATGGTTCTAGTTCAGTCTGAAGTTCCAAAGCAACTATGGGGGTTTAATTTAGTGCCACCAGTGATCAATCACAACATGTTGTTTTGGAATAGGTCAAGCTTATTTTTGACAGAGTCTGAGGCAGTTAACAAAGCCTCGTTTCCATATTCAACAACATGACAAACATAACTTTCATAGGCTGCACACAAGACATTTTGGGTTAAGCCGCAAGTGACACCAGCTAAACGTTTCAATAGTCTTGATTTGGCATATCCTTCATCAATGGCTGAACCAGGTTTTGTCCAAAGTTAATTTTGGGTCTAAGTGAATACTCAAGTAGACAGTATCGAAAGTTCTATTCAGGTCCTTTGTCATCAAACTGATGTTGGATGTTGTGATGTTTCGTACAGAGGGAAAAAAATTGAAAGGGGGTTTTATTGATATTTACAACCATATTATTATCATAAGTCCAGGTGTTAAGAACATTTAAGGCTTGTTGTAGGATGCTCTCCAGGCCAGCAAAGTCATCCTGTAGCACTCGTCACATCATCAGCAAATAGTAAAACATTCATGTCTGGGACAGAACTGGATTTAAATCATATTATGTCAAAAATTGCAGACAGCAGATACAGTTTTCTTAGACCTGGAGTAGCATACACTCTGCCAGGAGAGATTAAAACCGTATAGAGTTACCAACCATAATTAGTTCTTTCCTCCGCTACTCCTGAACTAATGTCATTAAAAAAAACTTTCTCATACACATAAATTCATGCCTACACACAGATAAAAAAATCCATAATTTTTATGCTTAAAAATATTTACGAAGGCCCATAAATTTACTTCCATTATAAATTCTTGCGATAATTCTTTGGGATCTGCGGGATGGACTTTTTTTAAAAAATAAAATCAGTCATCAGAATATTAGACAGAAAATTTTGGCTGTATGGAAGGCGGGCAGGTACATTGAAACAAAAATGCCATATTTCCTTGCATACTTTATCTTTTTACTAAACAAAAACAAAGAGGAGAAAATTATATGAATAATTTAATTTCTGAAGGATGTGGTTACAGTAAGAAAATAACAAATAAAAAATAGTTATGATCAGTCAACTATCCTAATATTTTATCTTTAAAAGAAACCTACATACCAATAAGAATACGTAGTAATATTAATATTACTATATCCAATAAGATATTTTCATTTCTATTTTCAATCTCGACTGTTCTTCCTGTTATCCCTGCTCATGCATTCAAATAATAATTCAATCAAATAATTAGAATGTGCAGTTGACTCTGCAAAACTGTAGACTAAACATCAATTTGTGTTTGCTTTATTGTGATTGGTAGGTTCCTGGATTAGGTTGGGTTAAAGTTCAACAGTTGAAAGGGATAGGTTCGGCGTGACCTTTGCAGGTCGTTAGTGAGGATTTGCTACAGGATTCATACATGTTTCTTCTTATTGAAATAATAATAATAATAATAATAATTTAAAAAAGAAATCTAAGGAATTTGAAGGACCTATTAGCAAATGGGAATTGAATAAATTAAAGCAGTTATTAAAGCTTCCTCATTTTCTCTTTCATTCTAAGAAAAAACAGAAGAATATCTAAGACACATTATTAAAACAAAATCGTCATCATCAAAATATACTGGAACACAACGCAAGGACACAGTCCAAGACTTTTTTCTTTCAAAGCAAAAAGATAGCATTCTCATTGATAACACCTGCTTTGAAAGGCTGCATGAACACGTTCCCTGAAAATTTCATTTTCGGACGCCTTATTGTTTACAAGGCCAATGTTTCAATTCCATAGTCAGCTAAAATGATAATTCACACTCATAATGGTAATTTTAGGAAATTAACAGAAATGTCACATGAGCAAACTTAAGAATCATTTGCAATTTTTTAGCAAAATTAAGGACTCTGTAGGACCAAAAATTCTTCAGAAAATCTCAAGATTTTTAAGGTTAACACAAACCCTGTGTTAGAAAATGAAAATAGTGATTACACTGATGAAGCCATTTTAAAATTTAGGAGAGCTTGTTCTCTGAATGCATTGAGAAAGGGGAAAATTACATGAATGTTAAAAAAAACTTCAGAAGCAGGCACTAAAAAGTTAGGGGGAAAAACGTAAGGAGATACAGTAAAAATAATAATAATATTTTTTCATGTTAAATGACAAAAAATAATAATGTAAAAAATGTATAGACCAGTTTACTTATGAACTGTTTCTTCAATTAAAAAAGATGCTCCTGGGATAATGCTGGGTTCTATCATGAGTTATGCTTACCTTCCATAGGCTTTTCTCAGAAAAATGCTTAATTATAAGCCGCAAAAATGCATATGTTACCTAGCATCAATTTGCTAGGAGTTCTTGGCACTTCAGAAATGATAAGATCATGCTGAATATATGCATAACTACTTATTAAAATTTTACCCAAATTTTTAAAATACTGTCTCTAAAAATGCTTCTCAGATGAGAGGGGGAATCACTTTCAGAGTCAATACTTTAACAATACTGAGTCTAAAAATTCCCCCACCAATTCCAGTTCTAGATTCTGACATTAAATACTTAGGTCTAGGAGAACTCTTACTGATAATCATCAGAACATTATTTTCATTAAATATTCAGTTTTTCTATAACGCCATTTTCAAAACTGTACGGCTCATAAAAATCCTCACATAGTACTAATTGCTATTATTAAATCTATTATACCAAAATAATACCATCTACTTTTTCCCTATTAGGATTTCATATCATAGAAATGATTCAATGGGACTGTCTTATGCATACATTATGTAAAAATTTTGTTTTAAATGAATCTTAGACTATTTACAGTCAAATACATGATTCTTTTGGATTCACACAGTAAAATTTGAAAATAACAAAAGTTTTTATGCTGAGAAAGAGTATGTAAATCCTGGACTTAAAAAAACCTTTATGAATTTGATAATTTATTCAATCTGCCGTTTGTGTTCGAGGCACTGTTAGAGTTTTTAAGGAAAATTAACTAAAATTATAAGACTAGGATATGTACAATGTTACAAGGGCCTAAAATACCAAAATTAGCTAGAATCGGGGAAAAATTTCCATTTGGCTACAAAAGGAGAGTATAAAAGGTGTCTGAAGAAGCCTGAATAGTGATATGTATAACATGGTAAGCATCTCATGTAGCAATCTTAACACCATTTTTCAATAACTACAGCATTTAAAGTACACACACAATATGTAATTATTGCATTGTAATAACACATTTCAGATGAAATAAAAGGAAAATATGTGTGAGCAAAATAAAAAAGGATATCAGGATGGTCAACCCAATGTGTATCATTTAACCAGAAACACTGAGCATCATCCTGGAGTAAAGCATCATAACTCTTTTGTAGGTACATAGTATCTTCGGTATCAATACCACATCTCAAAAATTCGTATAAGATGTTCATTTCTTCTATTACACTCCTTCTGGAATATTTAGATTCAGGTTGAGGAGGGGTAGGCGTAATATCATCTAAGAAAAGATCTTTCAAACTTGTGCGACTATACCGTCGCTTACGTTTCAGTTTTGTTTTCCTCCTAGGTAAGACTTTTGGCGGTGAAGGAGGCATGATAAAAGGAGGTGAAGTGGCTCGTATTTTAGTGTATTCATGGTCAACTACTGACTGCACTGGACCACGTACTACTGAATCAATAACCGAGTCCAATGAGTTAAATTTTTGTTCTGAACTAGATTTATGAATGGGCTCTTCAGTTCTTTGAGGTTGTGGCAGGCAATAACTATGTTCAAAGATAAGTTGGTCGGTTACACTACTGCTATGTACATCGCTTTTATATATGAATTCAGAATCACTATCCATATTTTCATAAAAACGAGTTTCTTCAGCAGATAATGTAGCCTCTGAGCTGTAATCAAGCTCTCCATTAGTTAAGTTCTCTGGTAATTTGACACTCTGTTCAACACTGATTTCAGGAGCAGGTTCATTTTTATCATCTACTGCCTCTAAATTTTCAGCCACAGAGTCTACAACAGCCTGTCGACCAAAATCTGCAAAGATGGACGCCAGTTCCATTAATACTTCTGATGCTTCCTTTGCTCTGGATTCTTGACTTTGTTCATATACTGGTTCATTTGTTGGCAATTCTGATGAACTGGGTTCTACAGCTTCATTTTGGCTTTGCTCTTGGACAGTAGTATCAGCATCAACACTCTCAGATTCTTTATCACTAGCTGATGGTTCTTCTGATGGTAAAGCAATGGCTTTTTCAGAGTCTTTTTCTTCTTCCTCTTCCTGTTCAAGATCTTCTTTATCACTTGGAGGAAACTCACCTTCTGATATATCGTCTAATTCATCACTCACTTCCATCTTTTCTTGTTCTGTTTCTTCAGCAGTTACTGAAGAGCTGGGAATACATGCTTCTTCATCATTGCTGGAATGCTCCAATTTATCTTTTTGCACTTTTTCTAATACACCTTTAAATGTTGTTGTTCTAAAATAAAAGAAAGGCATAAGAAAATAGTAAAAATCATGCAAATAAATAAAGAAATCACTAGTAAAAAATATTTGTTTAGTCCATAAATTTATGTTTCTTTGGAACAATATACACAATTATTTCAATTAACAAATTATTAGATAAAATTCAATGGAAACGCAGTTCTGAGTCATTTTTTATTTTTACTGGTGCTATACTGAAAATGGATCTTTAACATTCATTGCCTATACCTGACAATGGAAAGAGTTTCTGTTACCTGTAATGATAATGATTCCAAGTTTGATGGGTAATCAAGGTGAACTGCATTATTTTGATTACGGAAAAGCATGTAAGGGCTATCTGCCCAAAGAAAGGGAAACCTCTGTGAAGGACTTCCTAAGGAAAAAATGGCCAATCTAATTTCATTTTACACAAGAGTAAAACTACAAAAATTTCTAAACAGCCAGGCCATTCAATGGGATTCAAATCCATGGCGAGCAAGAAGTATTTAGCAGTTTAACTATTCGACCATTAGTGGGCTCTAATTATGATCACAGATATTCAGTTTGTAAATTTATTTATAACTATGTTAAAAATCTAATCACTTTTAAAGTTCTACAGAATGCTTCAAAATCTAAAAATATAGTACCCAAATGTTGCCGAAATCACGTTAGAAAAAACCTAACATTTAGAATAGCAACAAAATATTCAAGAAATCATGTTTTCTTTATATTATATATACACTTTATACAGTGCACATGGTCGTGTTGTAACAGTTCTGATGATTTGGCATTTTATTACAGTCAAAAGTCTTTAATCCGGAATCGTCGGGACTTCGGCGATTCCGGGTTATCGGTTTTTCCGGATTACAGATCATCAGTTTAAATCTGGTAAGATGGCATGCAGAAATTATAAAATTAAAAATATTAAACCATAATTTATGAAATAAAGAACAATTATGATCTAAAGGATATCAAAATTTACAAAAAAAAAAAAAAGCTTAATATTTATTTGTTTACTTTATTAATCATTTCTTTCAACGCGCGCATGCGTAAAGTATACATTACGCATAGTTGAAATTAGAAAAATGCAACCAGAAAACTATTTGATGTGTATTCGTGATATTTATAATGACAAGGAATTTGATTTAAATCATATCAAAGACAGAGTACATTGACATGAAATACTACATTTAGTAAGGCATTATAAGCCAAATAAAATAAAAACATCTGCCCTGAAGATAAGGATAGTGCTGACAGATCAACTTCCAGTTCATTTCGGAAAGGAAAAGAATAAAATTTCGAATAAAAAAAGTAAAAGAAAAATATTTTTAAACTAAAAACAATACTAACAAGGACCTCTCCTTTGACAACAGAAGTCATTTTTTTTTTTTTAATGAAAATCTTGCTATAAGATTTGACTTCTTAATGCAAGAATTAAAAAGTTTACAAAATTTATGGCAACAACTATTTCTATGGATCAATTGGGGAAAATGTAGACAAAGTGAATGTAGCAACCTTAACATTGTGACTCTACACTTTTTTTAATATACGGTATGCTTAATTAATCAGCTTTGACATTGTAAAACATGATCTGAAATTGTTATTAATCAGAATATTATATTAATATGAAATATCTGCTTGCATAAAAATGCAGACTTGAATTTGGATATATCTTCATACAAGACACGAGAATTTACGACACACAGTCTTAAAGACTAATATAAAAATATAGACTAAATTCAAACTAAACATCCTAAACAACAATTTCTAAAAGTATGTAAAAGTCCCCTACAATGGTATTATGACATCAATAAATGGCTTTAAAAATAAGTCAAATTGCAAGATGGCTCAACAGATAAATCATGGCACAGAATGAAATGATTGATGCAAATACATAATAAATACAGGGTTCATATACATCCAGATAATGGTGGGTGGAATCGTTACCTTTATGAATTTCGAACTTCAACGTTTTTGATGGTCATTATTTTCATCATAGCAGGTCGAAGCAGGTTAACACTGAAATTCAAGAAACTCTTTTCATGGTAAATAAAATGCCATTTTGTTGATAACACCTATTTTGAGAAATTTCAAAAAAGCAATAAAATATTTTGAAACTTTCGTTCCAAGGTGGCTGACTTTCTTATTCATTGGAACATCAATTTACAATGACTTTATTATATGCTGCACAGTTTGACTTCTATATTCACTTAAAATGTTAATTGCCATATCAAATGGCAATCACAGAAAAGAGACGGAAATGTTTAAAAAAAAAAAGGTACCATTTGCAAATTTTTTATCAAAATTAAGAACTTTAGAGGACCAAAAAAAAAAAAAAAAAAAAAAAAAAAAAAAAAAACTAATGGCTCTTAAGAATTTTTATGATCATATGAACCTTGTAAATAATAATAAAAATTTATGCTCTAAAAATTTATATTAACTTAAAACAAAGGCTATAACATAACTATTAGTAACATAACAAGGACATGCACACTCACAATATAATTAGTTAATAAGCACCATATATTATGAATTTTAAATTTGTCATTTTTGGCATGGCAATTTGTTGGTCATTGAGATTATGTTAGCAAAAATCATAGGAAGATCACTCTTACAATGAATTGTTCAGTGACTTTAGACCACATTAAAAACTAAACAAAGACTTTTAAATTAATCGATATATACCTTTGCTCTTCTTTTTCACTTTCAGTTGTATCTTTGATCATTTCTGAATCTGATGTCTCAAACTCAGATTTTTTATCCTTAGGTAAACTCATAGTTTCTTTACTTGCCACAGCTCTACTATCTTCATCACTAACAACAGTTTTTTCAACTTCATCATTTGATTCTTCTTCACTTTCACCAGATGCAAATTCTGATTCCTCAGAGCCACTCTCTGAATCTGAGCTCTCATCATCTGCTGAAGATGACTCATCATCTGGAACATAATATTTGCATTAGAGGAGAGATACCATTTTTTACATCTATCAATAAAAGAAATTTTAGGAGAGAAGAGAAACATAAAATTAAGAAAAGCAACAGCTTCATGTTTAGTGCATATTACAGTCAAGAATCTATTGATTTTGAAAGCAAGCAAGTACAGGCCCTTCTTCATCAGAAGCAAAGAAATCTGCCACAAATGCAGATTTCTTTGCTCCTGACTCAGAGGTAACTGTATCTGGTCTCTCTCGAAATTTTGAGTTTTGACTAAAATTTACGTCAAAATGTAAAACTGTTGACAAAAGAGTTTTGTTTCTTCAACTTACCTGAATCAGCCTTTTCACTTTCACTTTCCTGAGAGCTCTGATCATCATCTTCCTCAGATGAGAATACCATTCTCCTTCTCTTCAGACCAACAGAACTTTCTGTATCTGAATCAGATTTTACCTTTTCAAGATCTGCAAACACAAGAGAAACAAAATATTGTCTTAAACTGCTAAACAACAGAGAGGATAGAGGAATTTACAATCATCTAAAGACAACTGAAATTTAGTACAAACCTGATTCCTCTGCTCTTTTGCTGTCATCGTCATCAAGTGGAGGGGGTGATGGTGCTTTAATTATCTTCCGCTTAAATAACAAGAGGTTATAATATTCATAAATTATACATTACACATAAGTATGTTAAAATAGGGAAAACCCATGCCATGTTACATGCATTCAAGTACCACAAGGATGGTTGAAATTGAAAACATTAAGGATTGAAATACCATATCAGTCAGAGTTCATGTATTACATCTACTAAGTTTTATGACTGAATTAAAAAAAGTGATTAAAAAATTGTCACTATTTAGCTTTACCTATGTTTTGCTTAGCACCTTGATCAGCTTCAGACTGTCTTTGCTGAATTACACTACTTTGAATCCTCCTTAAGAATCCACGATTTAAATGGTTTTGATTTTCTATGGGTGTGATGATCTTGCAGAACATTATCACCAATAATGTTTATTACAGTTACAATTTCAATTACCTAGTATGCCATGTAAACCTACTTAATACTAAAAATTACCATATAATTATTCTCTTTCTACATATTGCATTTGATATACACAGCCTGAATTATTAATAGCCAAGTAACATTTCCAAGAAAAGCAAAAACGGCATACTATAATCAAGACTGTAACAATTCATGTCTTAGTTATTCATCTTACGAATTTATTCTAACAGTTTATGTCCTAGTTATTCACCATTCCCAATTTTTATTTCTTATTCTTATTTAATTACACTGTTCATGCTTTAATGCATGCTGTTTTCGGTATCCTGTTAAAAAAGTTAGTTTTGGGTGTGCTCAGTTGCATCCATTGATGCATGGTGCAATGAACATGGTGGAACACACTTTTTAGCTTTCTCATTCAATTTATGATGGTATCAGCAACAGGAAAAATTCAAAGGAGCTCTAGCTGAAGGGCTTTGCTTTCTGTTAAAGTGGTTTTTAAATACAATGTGTGATCGTTGCAGAGAAAACACCTCACAATGTAACTTGCAGACCTCACATAGCAGCAAATGCATTTAAAATTTGAATCCCAAGGTCATTATCATCTTCAAAAGCATGCAAAACTTGTTTACTTCTGTACTTCTCATGGTGCTAATAAATGGCAACATAAGCAAGCAAGTACAATACCCAAAGTCACCAAGGTCTCTCACCACATGACTACTACAAAGTGTTACTTAATTTTTGACATTTGCAACTTCTGTGCTCTAGCTGAAAACAAGTGTTCATTATGTATTGTGGTTGATGCAGAATATTTGAAATACAACAAGTCACAGTGTTTAGACTAAAGCTTTTTAGCTATCACATGGTTCTTTATAAACATGAAAATTATCATGCAAAACTTATACGTACAATTAAATGCAAAATGCTAGATCTGCTGTTATAATAAAAACAGAAATTTTTGCCATTTTTTTGTTAGCAGACACAAGTATTAATATTTGTATTAAATAAGCATTTGTACCAGCAAAATAACATAAACTGAACTTTGGCAGAGCAGAAAATACCTATCTATTGATCACCGCACTAATTAATGTTATAATCAGCATATATTTATTTAAAAACATTAATAGCAAAATCTCAATTATAATGTTATTTCAATAAAATCTAGGTATTTCAATAAAATCTAATCTCATAAAAAATTTAATACTTACCCTAAAAGAAGGCATCCTAGGCATTGTAGCTCTTAAGCCTAAACCAATACCGCTATTTTCCAAAGCAAACCCAAATGAAGAACGATTTTTTTCAAAAAGAGCACTAAGTGAAGAAAATGCAGGCATCTGTGCCTTCTCTGGTGTTTTATCAGGTACATCTCCTTGTGTTTTAAGCTAAGGGGAAAAATATTTAGAAATGTAATCTTGCATCTAAGTATAACTAACTCATTTTAAAAGCTTTTAAATGCTATATAAAAATACTTTAATTACTTCTTTAATTTAAACATGACAGCCCCAAAAAGCTGTCTCACATAAGACAGTATTTCAGAAGCATGTTAGAATGCAAACAATATCAAGAACTGAAGTTATGAAGACATTTAAACAGAGGAATATACTACACAATTTATTTAACACACTATTTTCCGCATTACATCTGGGTCAGTGTTCATTTTACTGTACAAATTTAGATACTTTTGGTGTAGTATTTGTTTGGCAACAATTATTAAGACAAATATAGTAGCTGCTTAAATACTGGGGGGGGGAATACCTGTCACCAATAGTTGAAAATGTCACCAACAATTGTCAAAGGAAACCCCCTCAACTTGCGAAAGACCACACAAAAATAAGAAATTCACATGTGGTCTTCCACAGGTCACAGTGTTTTAAGCTGATATGAGGTGGGAGACAGCAGGCTCTGATATCACAGAAGCAATAATTCATTCAGTTACGACTCCAACTGATATTACAAGAGTCACAACCTCACGGCCAGTGTTAAGGGATTATTTTAATGATCTGCACTGTATCTATCAACAAAGACTCTTGATTTCAGGGAACCTGATGGACCAATAATCCTGTTTCTCCTCTGCAAATCAGGGGATGTAAAATAAAACTGCAAATTAAGACGTCATGACTAATTCAGCCTGCAAACTATTTTAGAAGAGGCAAAAACTCAAAACGCTCTTACACTCTCGACTAGCTCTTAAACTCTTGATTTCTTATTTTTACCACTACAAAGCTTCTCACATAATGAGGACAATAATAGTGATACACAGCCTTGAGAAATGTAAGCAACACCAGTTACCACATCACGTCATGCCATCAGTGTAGCATACTGTCATAACCCCAGTAATGACCGAGGACTGACAACTTCATTAATAAGCTAAACTATCAGGAATTATTCCAATAGCTAAATGACAATTCATTTCACTTGCATCTTACAATAACTGGTCAGTCACTTGCATAGTGATAAAAACTCTTACTATTGAGAAACGCTTTTAATACAGCCTGACGTAACACAATAGATAATAAAGGAAATCCAAAGCAACTGTCAGTCCAACTTTTTCAGCCAAGCTAGATAGGCTACTGAAAGTCCTTCATGCTGGATCAACAATACTTCAGTCTTCCCAAGATAACTAAAAAATACGCATCCATTTTCACTAAAGGTGTTCTTCAATAAAGCATCTATTCTTACTTCCTGCTATGTTGTGATTCTGTGACACAGTAAAATTGTGCATACAGCAGCATATATTCAGTGATTTGTATATGCTTAACTTTTTGCTTTATATTCAATTGTGCATCTTCAAACATTTTCTGCAAGTGACCACTATTTCAATGTACCAAACAGATGGAAAGGAGAACAAGAGATATGCTTATTTCTTTGCTTCCTTGCATTTTATCTTGACTACAAATTAGTGTGGTCAAACAGCTGATCGGTTGAAAGCCGCTGACCTATCCTCGAGGGTGAAATGAGATACGGATTTATCCCTTTTATTTTTTCAAAGGCAATGCTGCTTTAGAAAATGACAGAACCACAGTCCAAGAAACTGACACATCAGACTCATAGAGTAGTTTAGAAAATATCTTCCATTTGGAAACCAAATATCACTTTATGGCTGAGACATTGTAAAATCCAATTTGATATACTTGGCATTGCCAGCAATAACATGAAATTTTCACATACTGCAGCAGACTAAGACACATCAACTTTAACATGTCTTAGATATTATCTTAACAACTCCTGAAAATGACAAATATCTAACTTTAAAAAGCATAATCATGCAGTTTCAAGAGCAAATTCATAAACTTTTATTAGGTTTACAATTAGGTGACAAAAAAAACCTAGTTTCCTTTTGAAACATATGATAGAATTATCAAAATACATGATTTCCTAAAAAATTGTGAATACATAGATTTCCTTCCAATATGCAAGCAATTTTATTGGCTTCTGATGCAGATTTAATTCATCAGGCTAAAATAGCACATAAAGTTTTGGAAGTCACAACTTTGTGCGGCATCACACCTTCAACACTTCACTTAATGAACAAATAAATACAGAATCTTACTAAGCAAGTTGAATGTCTGTCTTAAAAAATAAAATAAAAAAAAAAAAAAAAAAAAAAAAAAAAAACAATCAATCAAAATTCAAGATACCATGATAACCACAATCGTTCAAAAAGAGGCAACGTAATTCGTACACAAATCATGTCAACACTGGTTATTGATTTTACCATCAAAAGTTGAAAGCTGATGCTTGTAAATGTATTTCTCCATGTACTACTTCTCAGTTAAAAACTAAATTTGGTTGCTGTTCTGAAATGAGTCATGGATACTAGAATATCTACAAACTTTCAACAGATTACACATTTACAACAAACAGAACATGAAATTTCTTGTTGACACAAATAGTGACATTTCCTATACCAAGAAGAAAACATATCACTGTTACTGCTCTAAAGCTACTTGCTGTAACTAATATTAAAATGTATGGCATAAAGTCACAAAATTTATTTTTTAATCTCAGGCAAAATCTTAATTGGGATTTCACAATAGCCAATTTTCTCAATTCTCATAATAGGAGCCAACTTTCTCACCCATTTTGATTACTAGTTGATTCCCCCCTCGAAAAAAAAAAAAGGATCACCGGCACATTAACTACTCTTGTTAGAGTGGCAAACTAGAACACGATACTCAAATGAATATCAACACTGCTTCGGAATACTCTCATTATCACAAAATTCTTATATAATTTCTGAACTAACTAATCCTTCTATACATAGCAAAACAATCAAACATGACACAGTTCATTAGATCAAAACTAAAAGACAATCAGTCCACTCCAAAGCACGACAACTTCGATCCAAAGTTTATGATGAAGGGGAAATGATTTCAAATATACATTATAAGCTATTTTCTCCCTCCTTTCTGCATACTTTTGTGGTGTAACAGTAGCACACTCACCGTGTATTACAGAGGTCCAGGTTCGAGTCCCGGAGGGGCATTGCTTATTTCTCGTGTTTCCTACATAAAAAAATCCTAATGACTCTATAACGTTAAACCAGAGAATTTGACAACCCTCTAAAAGTTACTGGTCGTGTAACCTTTATATCTAGTACATAAAATGCCTACTTGTATTAGACTAGTTGGAGATTATAGAGCACTTAACAGTTTTTGATTCATATACTATTCCACATACATAACTAGATTTTTTGTTACACATATTCGATAACAACAACAACAACAAAAAAAAAAAAATCTAGTCTAACCTCCCAATATAATAATAATAATAAAACCAACCCTCTCTATAAACAATACATTTCCAAAAGCTTTACACTAACTAAAATATGGACTTAGCCATATTACTTCAAAATGTGTTTTTAGTGTTCTGAAATAAAATTCTTAGGCCATTTAATGACCGAGAATGGGAGCAAATCTTTCTTTACCTGTTACAATTAACTTAAAAAAACCACAAATTGGTAAGACTTAAGAAAGTTTTTGGGTTACAAATTTTTACTGTAGATATCTGACATGTGCAGCTCATAACCAAGCTCTACTCATTGAACATTTAAAAAGTTAAAAAAGAATGAGAAATGCAAAACTCATTGGTCTGATTAATGAAGCTTTTGAAAATGCTACATTATTAGCACATCTTTTGCCAAATGCATTTCTAATTCTTCAAGTTGATGCAGATGAGTACACTATTAGCAGATCACTAAACCAAGCTACTAATCACAGATTCCAACCTCTGGAACTCTTTTTCTAGAAAACTCACAACCACTGAGACAAAATACAGTGCACATGATAGGGAATTATTAGTAATCTATGCATCCATTTGGAAATTTAGATATATGCTAGAGGGCCACTAATTTACAGTGTTTACCAATCACAAACCACTAATATTTGCTTTCAAACAAAAAACTGAAAAATACTCCCTACATCAAAATCATTAGTTAAACTTTATTTCTCAACTCACAACTGATTTCCAATACATTAACGGAACCAATAACATTGCTGACAACACATTACCTCACATTCATGAAATAAAAATTATTAGACCTATTGATTATGAAGAAATTGCTAAGGCACAAACAGTACATCATGAGTTAAAAGAAATATTAAATATAACAATTATTTACAAATAAAAACAAGTTAAGCTTCCAAATTTAGAAATAGAATTATATTGTGATATATTTACTGGCATACCAAGACCTTGTGTCCTCAAGTTCCCAACATTATGTTTTAATTGCATACATAATTTAGCTCATCCAGCCATTTGAACAATGTCAGTTGGAAGGATCAGAACAGTGTCAATTGAACGGCACTTGGAAAATGAAGCAAAGTTAAAAAAAAAAAAAAAAAAAAGTCAGTCCAAAATCAAGGTAATTTTTGCTGTTTTCTTAGACTGTCATGGTGTTGCACCTCATGAATTTCCATCAACAGGCCAAGCTTTAACAAAAACTAACCTCACATTTTAGTAATGGCTGAGAATTCTATACCTTAGCTGACTTACTCTTCTTAAATATCATGTGTATGACTTACTCTTCTTAAATATCACATGTATGACTATAAAATACCAACCACTTTAATTTTAGTTACCACAATACATACACACAGGACAAACTCCTAAGGATTGTTAAAGACGACTAACAACAAATGCTTTTCCATACAAGGAATATATAGGTACAAGTGATGTGCTAAAGCACAATCCATGCCATTTGTAACTGTGTGCCCATGATCGAAAGAAAACTACATAGGCTGAGATAGAATATATGCATTCTAATGAGATATGGCTGCAAATGGTAGCAGCAAAGCACTGCCATGGATGAAACACTTTCCCAACAGACTACTGTCAAGCTAGAAAATGTTTCAGTGGTTAGACAACCAACTTTGTGAATCTG